AATATTGGGAAAAAATTCTCTCTCGGGGTAATATTTAGGTTACCAGATTTGATTTTGCTTGCAGATTTCAGTAGAAAGTATCTTCATATCAGTGCTTTGACCATGGGATGTGGAGATTTCTGAATGTGTTCATTCCTGTTTGAAGAAGCTAAGGAGGGGAATGACCTGTGGCTCTAACGGGCTTCTCTTGTGATTGGAAAGCAGTTTTGTTTATACTTTGCTTCCCAGTTGCTATACCCTCTTGGTGTGTCAGCCTGGTTTTTTTTTTTACAATGGTGCACTTAATGGAGTTGGTAAGTCATAAGTTGTTCATTTATTCAGCAGATATTTGAGCCAGCTATTGGGATGCCAGCCTTATTCTGTGTGTGTGGGAATAAAGAAGTGAACAGGATAAAGTTTGTCCCTGATATCATAGAGTTTGTATTTTAAAGGACATCTAGATAATAATAAACTGTCAGATAACTTTTATGTGTTTTGGTGTGATAAAGTTTAGTATAAGGAAAAGTCTTTCTTTCTCCCTACACTAAAGTAAGCCAAGGCTCAGATGACAAGAAGCAGCAGCTTCCCAAGCAATGGGAATAGTTAATACAAAAGCATTTCGAGTAAAGAGTAGAATGGTATAAGATGAAGTTGAATGAGGCTGTTCAAATATGTAGAGCTTTGTGAGCCAGGATCTGGTGTTCCTTGGGTTTTTAAAAAAAATTATTGTTTGTAGATGTTTTCATTCAGGTGATGATGGTGATGACTGATGATGTTGAGCTTGAGTCAGTACTTATCATTTACTATATATTAAGGTTAGGGACAGGCTTCCCTGATAACTCAGTTGGTAAAGAATCCGCCTGCAATGCAGGTAGACCCCGGTTGGATTCCTGGGTCGGGAAGATCCTCTGGAGAAGGGATAGGCTACTTACTCCAGTATTCTGGCCTAGAGAATTCCATGGACTGTATAGTCACGGGGTCGCAAAGAGTCAGACATGACTGAGCAACTTTCACTTTCAAGGTTAGGGACTCATCCTTGTTTTATTCCCAGACAGACTTATTTCTCTGCCTTATTTAAAATTATCTAAACAATTAGCAAATGAAAAATGAGGAACCATGGTAAGGTAAAAGTTTATTAACAATCAGTAAATAAATAGCTTTGTTTTTATTGATGTTTGCTTTTCTGTACTCAGTAGCTTACTTATTTGAATGAATACTTATTACTTATTTGAATGAATTTTCATTTGGAGTTGCTCTTAAACCTGACAAAATGAAAGTGTGTTTATGGGAAAGGGAAAGGATTTACTTCCTTCTTGTGCTGGGGAAAAAAAAAAAAAACCCTTAGTGATAATAGCTTGGTAAGTTATTGTTTTAGGAAAAGAAGATAATTGGTAGAGGCTTAACTTTTACTCAGTTGAGGTTTTACTTAACTGATTGCCTGGCAATTGAATTTTGATAATTTTCTGGGAATTTTGCTTCATATTTTGGCCTTAAGTGTATTTCGTATTTAAAATGTGAAATTAGTTGCTTTTGTTTGAAGGTGAAGTAATTTGTTTAGGCAAGCAGTGAGTCATTCAGTTAATTTAAGAAAATGGTTTATTAACGGTAATGTATGTCCCCAGTTGTCTAAAGGAGTTAGAATACCTTCAAAATGAGTAAGACACAGTTTACCTCAAGTCAGTCACAAGTAGCTTATCTGCTGAGTGGATTTCTTGCAGGCAATTTTGATTCTCCAGCTGGCTTTCTTTCCATATCACCAGTTTGTTTCAAAACTATTTTAAGCCCTACTCTAATGGTGGATATTCAGGGATTGAAATGAATCTGAAAGATAACCTGACTAGTCAAAATATGACTAAGAAGGCAATCCTTAAAAACAATATACTCTGGTAATGCATTCTAGGGCTTCCTAGTGACTCAGTGATAAAGAATCCACCTGCTAGTGCAGGAGACGTGGGTTCGATCCCTGGGCCTGGAAGATCCCCTGGAGAAGGAAACGGCAACCCAACTCCAGTGTTCTTGCCTGGGAAATCCCATGGAAAGAGGAGCCCGGCGGGCTACAATCCATGGGGTTGCAAAGAGTCAGACACAACTGAGCAAATAAACAACAACAGCAATGCATTCTGAATCCAAAGGAACCTGCTTTCTAGATTGAGTGTAATTTGAAATTTGTATTCTACTTCTCCCTTCCTAGGGCATAGCATTGTGCCAAGCAGATCTTTTTGATCTTAATAGACCTTTCTTTTTTCAAGTGAATGAATGAAACCTACTGAAGGAAATAATGAGAGAGTTGATAATATCTCTCTCATGAACCAGATTAAGCCAAATATGTGTCTGAGCATTTAGGGAAGGCACCTGGTACTAGCTCAGGGAGGCCCTGGAGAAGCTCATTGACAGCGTTGAGGAGGGGGCATTACTGAACTAGTATTTGTTGTGCTAGTATTTCAGTGCCCTTGATAGAAAAATAAGGAAATAGGAAAATACCCCTCATCTCCTGCAGTTCCTTTTCCCCCTTGTGTTTTTCTTACTTTAGTGAATTCCTACAGGAATACTTAAACTTCATCTGAAGCTTTACCTGTAAGCCAGTCCTACACTGCCAGTGGTCTTGTGGTGGGGAAGAAAATACGGGCCAATGAAATCCACAGAGAACCTTAGATCAAGTAGTCTTTCCTTTTTTCATCTCTGTGACCCCAGCTTTTAATCTTGGCTGATAAGATCACAAAAAGATGTCTTTGCTTTAATTCTCTCTTTTTTTTTCGCTTCTGCTCACCCATTGTGTGTAAGTTAACCCAGATATACTTAAAAGACAATGAAGAATGAGCCAAAAAAGGCAGGAAGCCATAACTGGATCATTAGCACTTAAATTTAACAGCTCCTAGGGATTTGGGTTTCATCTTTTGACTGGGCAACTGTGTGAGGATTATACCAAGTTGACAATGTTAGTAGTAAACTAAAGATATTTTCCTGTGAAACAGATGCTTTCATCATAATTTGTAAAGATATTAATACAAACCCAGTGATCAGAAAGTAACTTTAGTAATGTAAGTAACGTGTGGATTATTTTTATTAGTAAAAATCCACACATATAAATGGATTTCTTATGAAAATTTCCAAACATATAAATTATAAACATATAAAACATTAAAATTTCAAACATATACACACACATATGTGTCTGTGTGTGTGTGTGTGTGTATATATATATATATAGAGAGAGAGAGAGAAAGGATAATGTAATGAAACACCTTTATCCATCATCCAGATTTAACAGTTACCAGAGTTTTGTTACACATGCTTCATCTATCCCTCTCATTGTCCTTGGCTAAAGTTTTACAAAGTACATCCCTAAAATGTTATTTTTACTCCTATGCACTTTAGTATGCATCTCTCAAAAATACAGACACTTTCTTCCACATTCACAGTGCCATTGGCACATCCTATAAATAATTCCTTGGGATCATATAATATTTAATATATATGTAACTGTCTGTATTATTTGAAAGTATCCTTTTTTTCATTTGTTTTTCTCAAGTTGGAATCTGAACAAGGTTCCTACTTTGAGTTTGGTCGTTCCGCCTTTGAGTCTCTGCTAATCTTGTGATTTAGACTGTTGATGGCTGGTTTTTGTGGCTGAGGGAGCCAAGTGGGGAGTAGCAGGAATGAGTAGCGGATTTTAAGCCAGGCTAAAAGGAAAAACCTTTAAAAATCACAGAGCCTGCTGGGAATAGGGAGATTTGGTTGTAACATCTGTGGCTGAAATAATGTTTTTCAGGCCTATGTGAAACTTTAAAAAATGCCTCCTTTCAAAGCAGTTGTATTTATGTATATTTTGTTCTGTGCAAGACATAACTAAATTTGAGTTGCTATTTGGAATGTAAGAAACTGAAGTTGTCAGTCTTAAACCAAACTAAAATAGTGAGAAAAAGTCCCCACCAGAGACTAACCCAACATTGTATATCACTATATTTCAATTAAAAAAAAAAGCACACAAAAAACCACATGTTTTTAAGAGCTCTAATTCTCTTTACAAATTAGAAATCAGTTACTTTCTACAGATTGTCTTCTTCAGTTCAAAAAAGAGAAGAGTATTTTCCCTTTGGACTTTATCTCTTTATTTTTGTATTGATTTTTAAAAAATCCAATTATGATCTTCCTAAAATAATTGTCTATCTACCATTAAATATGCTGTTTCTTAGGATAATGTTATATAATTGCATATTAGGGCATAGCCTGGTGGAGGAAATGGCAACCCACTCCAATATTCTTGCCTGAAGTAATCTATGGACAGAGAAGCCTGGCGGGCTAAAGTCCATGGGGTCACAAGAGTTACAAGGGGTCACATGGGGTCAGAAGACTTAGTGACTAAACCACCACCACCAAACCACCACATTAGGGCATTCGTTGAAAAAAAAAAATTGCATTCTAAAATAACAGTTAACATAGTAGAGCAGAATCTCACTAAGAGTAATGTCCAAATAACTTCACAATGTTTAAGACTCTTTCCAAACAACTTTATTAATTCTACATAGGATCTGGATGAAAATTTAATTTGTAATAGACTACACTTGGAGAAACCAAAGAGTTATTTACTAAAATATAGTTTCAAAAATATGTTTTATTTGAATATGTATAGTTTCTATAACTGCAGATTATGAACTATAATAAACTATAAGGTTATGTTCTCCTCACTGAAAATCTTGAATATAGAACATGGGTGAGTCCTTGGTTAACCTTCAGAACATTTTGGATGTGGGTTCAAGCTCAGATATTAAAGCTCATTTGCAGATAAGACACATGCTGTGTGTGTTTTTGTAAGAAATAGAACCTGTCACAGCTTCAAATCCTAAGACCCATCATAAAAAAGAAAGTAGGTGAAAAGTAGAAAGTGAGACACTTTTAATTTCCCTCGTTCTGAATGCCAGGATTTTGTTCTTTCCTAACAGTGTTAATGTGTGTCAGTAGTTTGTGCTTTTACCTTTTGGTACCTGATAATTCCAGATGTTTGCTTTACATATGCCTTTTAGGTGCCCTAATGTGAGTCTGCAAAAGCTACCGGAAGAGTGGTTATTGAATGTTTTAGAGGAAATTAAATGCTGTGATCCTTCCTCTAAACTCTGTGCTACAAGACGCAGTGCTGGAATTCCTTTCTACATACAGGTATTATGCTCACCTGCAGGATCATAGCTGGGGGTTTTGTTTGTTTTTGGTTTTTCAGTAATAACCCCCATGACCCATGAGTGATCGTATTGCACAAGGGACATTTCTGTCTTTTCTATAGTTCATTTCACAAATACTTTATTATAATGTGTGGCTGTTGTGTTCCTATGACAGATCTCTTCTTGGAACAAACCCTCTAAGAGGTCAGTCTTATAACATGAACAGAGAGTGGTAGAGATTTCTGCCTGTGTGTGAAGTATGAAGACATCACTGTGGTGCATTCATTCCTCACTTCCAGGAAGTGCACATGCTACCTTTTTTTCAATTAGAAAAAGTATTCTTCCTCTCTTTTCAAAGACTGTAGGCAACCAGTGTTAAAAGTTTCTTTTGAATCCTTGCACAAAATATCCATGCATAAAATAATCCTAATCCTAATAGTAGCTTTTATAAGTGGTTATTTCACATACGTTATCTCATTTAATCCTTTCTCAAGCCCTACAAGATAGATCCTATTATCATTCATATATTGGGCCATAGAAAAGTTAGGTAAGTGACTTGCCAGTGGCCATACAGATGGTAAAAGCAGAACTAAGACTTGAGCTGAGCCCAGGCACCCTGCCTCCTGAACAGCTGTTTTTTGAGAGAGAGAGTGTGTGTGCATGCATTTTCTTTTTTATCACCAATGAAAGCATACGCCACACATTGTTTTGCCCCTTGCTTTTTTTTACTTAACATTATACCTTAAAGATTGCTCCATATCAGCATGTTCAGATATTGCTAATTGATAGGAAGATATTTCCACAGTGTTGAAATTAAGAGGCCATCACCTTTATGAATCCAAAGAATAAAAAACTAAGTCCTCACAATACTAAATCAGACCCAACCTGCAAGATCTTTCTTTAATTTTCAGGAAGATAAAATCTAGGAATAGGTTTTAAAAAAAAGAAAATGAAAATAAGTGAAATGAAGTTTGTTTTTCAGTGCCCCAGTATTTTTTCCTTCCCTTTGTTATTCCTCCCCCAAATTCCCAGAGTCGTGATTTGTTGATGACATTGGGTACCAGTTGGAAAGGTTGGTTTGACACACAGATCACCAAGGTAGTAGATTTTAGTGATCTTCAGAAATCAACTCACCCTAAGCTGGTGTGTTTGGCCTCTTATGTCTGTCTGAGAACAAGTGTTAAGGCCGCAGCAAGGTTCGGTTGCACATTTGTGCTGTGTGCTTCTTTCTTGGTTCCCAACTAATATCACATATTGGTGATAATGATACAACGATCAGGACTGCACTTTCTTAGCTCAGCCTTGAGAAGAATGTCATAACTACACACAGCTCTTGGGGAAAAAAAAAAACAAAAAAGCTGTGTTTCCCAGGAGACACATCAGTGATCACATATGGCTTTCTTATTTATTTTAGTTGAATAAAATCTAAATTAATAGAAAAATCTGCTCAGGAAAGTCCCCTTTTTCCTAGTATAACTTTACCAATAAAGTGATACTCTTGTTCTAGTGGAAAGCTTTGCTTGGTGTTAGCTGTGAAGAAAAACTGCCTACTTAGTTTATGAGCTTACCTTTGGTGTAGATATATATAAAAATTTTTTGAATGGTCAAAAGATAGTTTATGTATTTTCTGAGCATCAATATATTATGAGAAGTTTCTTTTTTAAACCTGTTTTGCCTCTGTATTTTTACTTTGCTCCTTATGGGTTATAAATGCTTCAGAAGAAGCTGAAGGACTTGAAGCTTTCACTCTTGGCACCCAGTAGCTACATATATATGAAATATTCTGGCTGCTCACAGTCCTACATAGCTACTAGCCTATTTTCTACCTCTGTATAAATGGAATCATATAATATGTGGTATTTGTCTTTGTCCTCTTTCACTTAACATCATGTTTCAAGGTTCATCCATATTGTAGCATTGTAAGTACTTCTTTTTAGTGCCTCAGGTGGTTTGATACGACTATTTTTATGTTTATCAAAATGTTAGAAAGTAAGCAACTCTTGAACATTCAAATATAGGACTTCTTTGAAGTTCATAGTATTTCCTTTTGTCCCATGGAGTTTCTAGTGCTACAGTTTGAGAGTCCTCCAGTCCTCTTATGAAGAATTGAATAACTGATCTATCTCCAGGGAGTTTCCACATCCTTACAAGAAATTTAATCCAAAGGTTTTTTGTTTTTCAAGTAAAGGGAAGTTTCTTGCTGGATAATTAAAACTTTTTGTATCTGAGACCTGCCACCCAGTTATGGTCCTAGAAGAGTTGTCAACAGGAGCTGTTTTCAACCTCTTAGTATTACATAATTGACACACCAAACTGGAGGTAGCCGTAGAGATTCTGTAATATCACCACCTGATTTTACAGGTGAAGTATCTGAGGAATGGAGAGGTTAAGCTGCTTGCTCAAGGTCACACAGCTTAATTAACTTGCTTAACACCACATTGGGGAATCCATTCTGGGGACTAGCAAGCAGGTGTATATAAAATAGTAGTCCTGATAATTTCTTTCTTGTTTTTCCATAGGCATTGTTGGCATCTGAACCTAAGAAAGGCAAAACGAATTTGTTGAAAATAACAATGAAAGAGTTAATCTCTTTGGCTGGACCTACAGATGACTCACAAAGCACAGTCCCCAAGGTAATAATGGAAATACACAAACTCTGCTAGGAAGTCAGTGGTTTTAACTCTTTGCTGTACTTAAAGAGAAAATTTTAAAAATCTGTCAAAGATACAGAGCTCTTGAAGATAGCTTATTCGGAGAGGATTGTTTTTGGTTTGATTTTTCTAGTCCACAAAATAAACCATTGCTTTAGTTGGTATAGATTAACCAAGATGGTCTGATTTTTAACTCTAGTGAAAACATTTGATTTAGACAAGGTATTTTACAATATTACAATTGTATCTAAAAATTAAAAAATGAATGTGCTGTCACTTTCAGATTTCGTGTGTGCTTCTTTGAGTTGATACATATATTTTAAAATTTAGCAGTTGGGTCTTCCCCTAAAAATGTTGTGTCTGGCTTTTGGTATATTCACATTTTAATTTTAGCTAATTCTTAGTCCTTTTTTGTCACTGCTAATGTTTGATTAAGTATATACTTATTTATGTGCATGAAGTTGGGTTAAGTGTTCCTCACAGTTCTGCCCTACTCCATGGTATTACACACCTGTCAGATACATCTTGTCTAGGCTTTCTCAGCCAATACCTCGTAGTAGGATGTTCCTGCCCACCTGGTGGAGGCCCACGTTAGGTAGAGAAGAGACTGACAGCTGAAGTTTATGGTCAGAAACAGTAAGGACATATGGTTTTATGTCAGAGCCTGTGGGAGTTATTAGGGAAGCCCATGGGCCAGAATGTGTACCAGTGGGAAAGGGTAGAGTTTATTAACACATATCACATAGTGGCCTGTGACTGTATGATGTAAAAATTCTTTAAAAGTTTTAAATAAAAAGTTACAGACCATCTTTCAGAAATGATCTGAAATCATTTTAAGATTTTTTCCCCCCAAAATGTGAAAAATATAACTGGTTCCACTTTTTAGACTATCACTTAGAAAAATACTATTGTTTAATAAGAACATCTAAAAATAGTGGAATTTGATTTTCAGGAGTGCTCTGAATTATTACCTTACTCGGCTTCAAAGTCATAGATTGCCGTTAGTGATCATTTTTATTAAATCAGTAAAAATTTACTATTTCATCTCTGACCAGTCTTCTAGGTGTTAGATGATTTGCTTTGCTGCTACTCTCCCATGGTTTATTTCTGAAATATTTCAGCACATAAAAGTATATGGTGACTAATCAACATCCATAAAACCAATTCCAAGTTTAAGAAGTAAAACATTACAGATTGAATACACTCTAGATGCCTCCATATTCTATTTCCCTTTTTTCCTTCTCAGCTATAAATCACTAAATGAAAAATTTCATGCATGTTTTTCATTCTTTAAGAGTTTTTTTTCTCTTTGAATATGAATTGTGTTATCTACACGTTTTAGTTTGGGATTTTTTCCAATCAACATTTTTTAAGGTTAGTAAGCTCCAAGTTCATTTTAATTTCTGAGCAGAGTTTCACTGTATATAAATGTTTTCTTTTCTGCTTGGTGTGAAATTATTGTGTTCCCCAGTTTCATTTGTATTTCTTTGACAACTGGTAGCTTTAACATCTCTCCATATATTTATTAGTCTTTTGGATAACCTCTGTGAATTGCCTTTTTAAAAACTTTGCCTGCCTTTAATTTGGTTGTCTTTCTCTGGCAGGAGTTGGTTTTTTTTTTGTTTTAAAATTATTTTCCTGATTTTTTTTCCTTTTTGGTTATTTGAATTACATGTCTTCTCTCAGTCTATTGCTTCTTTTCACTTTGCTTAGTATTCTGTTATTGCCCAGAAGTTTTAAATTTTAATAAAATGGAATATATCAGCCCTTGTGGTTTGTGTGTTTGGATATTGTTTTAGAAAGCCTTCCATAACCAAGTCAGAAAGATATTCCATATTTTCTTTATATAATACATCCTTTTCTCTTGTACTGTTGTACTAACACCATTTTTCTCATATACTATTTCTGTCGATATATGTTTCTGTTTCTGTGCTCTGTTACGTTAGTCTGTCCCTAAATCACTATTTTATTTACTGTATTTTTAAAAATAAGTTTCAATATCTGATAGAATGAATCTCCTTTTTTCCCCCCTTTGGAATTACCTTGGCAGTACTTGTCCCATTGCTCTGCAATAAAAGTTTTAGAATCAGCTTGTTAAGTTCACCTAGAAAGCCCTTTTGAATTTTGGTTGGAATTTAAATTTATTATTTGGGAAAAAAGACTTCTTTTTTTGATTCAGTTCATGCGCATGGCTTTATTTCTCCATTTATTCGGATCTTTCTTAATGTTTTTCATTACATTAAAAAATAATTTTCCATAAAAGTCTTTTGTGAAATGTTCAGTCACCTACCTAAATTGTTGTAATACAGCTAATGACTTATCTGTAAATTCCATGCATTTTCTTTATAGTTAATCATATCCTTCATAAGTAATGTTAACTTTGCTTTACTTTCCTGATTCTTTAAAAAAGTTTTCTTAATCTGCTGGGTGGCACTTGTAGTAATAGTTTTGTATAGAAATAGAGATAGCCAGCATCTTTGTGTTGTTTGATACTTGCTATAGGTTTCCTCTTTTCAAGGAAATTAGATTTTATTGAATGCTTTTAAGCATTTTTGAGATAAATGTTTTCTTCTAGAATTTGCAAGTATCATGAATTATGTTGACTTTTTAATATAATATGACCTTTGCAATAAGACAATGAACTCCTAACTTTGAAATGATACATTTTTTTACATGTTGCTAGATTCACTTAAAATTTTGAAAAAAAATTTATTTCACATATTTTCACTGGATTTGAAACTGATATTAACCTGTGCTTTTCCCTTTTCATGCTGTATCTGTCCTTTTTTTTATGTGAAAGTTTTTTGTTGAATTATACTAAACATACAGAGATGTGTACAAATAGTGTTTGCCTCCACAAAGTTTCACACAGTGAACACACTTCAGCAAGAAGTGAAATATTTTAGCACTTTAAAGCCCACTCATACTGCCTTCTAGTCAGCACTTTTCCCCCAAGTATAACCACTAGCTTAGTTTTAACACCTTAGGTTTACCTGTTTTTTAAAAAATTTCTTATGAATATTGCCATACATTCTATACTCTTTTGATATGATTTCTTTTGACAGACATTTTGTTTATGATATCATACATGTTGTGATATTCATTTTCATTGCTATGTAATAGTATATAATTTGAATTTCCCTGGTGGCTCAGTTGGTGAAGAATCTGCCTACAATGCAGGAGACCCAGGTTTGATCCCTGGGTTGAGAAGATCCCCTGGAGAAGGAAATGGCAACCCACTCCAGTATTCTTACCTGAATTCTGTGGACAGAGGAGCCTGGCAGGCTACAGTCCATGGGGTCACAAAGAGTCAGACACGGCTGAAAGACTAACACTTTCACTTTTCAGCATATAATTTGTTTATCCATTCTGTTGTGAGCATTTGGATAGTTTTAAATTTGAGGTAATTAAGAACACTGCTTTTAAGAACTTTCTTTTACATGCTTAATGGTGAACATATATGTATATTTCCTTGGAGTAGATACTTAGGAGTGGTTATTGGGTATGTATATGTTGAGCCTTTAATAGATACCATTTCTCAAAGTAGTTGTCCCTACCTTTTTTTTTAAAGTCCATATCTTATTTTGATAGCCAGGCTGTACTGGACTGATGAAACAAACTTGGGCATTTCTCTTTAACAGTTTAAGTAAGATTGGAATTATCCACTCTTTGAATATTTGGTAGAATTCATCCATAAAATCATGTGGGTCTTTTGTGTGTATGAATGTGTGTGTTGTTTTGTTGGATTTGGTGTCTTGCTTTTGTTTTGGTCTATGAGTGAGATTTTTAACTATTGATTTTCTTTATATAATGGTAGTATCTCTATAGCTTTTCTATTTCTCCTTGAATTTGGCTTGATTAGTTCTGCTTTCTAGGAAATTGTTCAATTTGCCCTAAATTTTTCTGACTAGGAAACTAGTCAGTTTATAACTGATGTACCTTTGTAACTCTGATGTACATTTAGTTATGTCCTCTTTAGTATTCATGACATTGTTTATTTTCTTCTCTCTCTTCTTGGTTAGTCTCATGATTTGTTTCTCTTTCAAAGAATCATCTTTTGGTTTTGTTAATGCTCACAGTTAAGTCCTTGATTTTAAAATTCTCGAATCTTTTAAATTTTCTTTTTCTATTTTGAGTTTATTGTTCTTTCTCTGTTGTCTTAATTGGACATATTTTCCAATTTTTAAAAGTTATAGCTAATCTACAATGTTTTATTAATTTCTGCTGTACAGCAAGGTGATTCAGTTTTATATGTATATACAGTTTTTTATTTTCTTTTCTATTATGGTTTATCACAAGATATTGAATATAGTTTCCTGTGCTATACAGTAGGACCTTGTTTTTATCCTTTCTATAAATAATAGTTTTTTTTGTTAAATAGATGCATTTAAGGTATATGTTTCTTTTAGATTCCACTTAAATGCATCACACAAGTGTCAATGTGTAGCATCTTTATTATTGTCCACCTCTAAATATTTGTTTTCTTTGACCAGTGCTTTAAAATGTGTCAGTTTTTAAAGAATGTAAGGAAACTGATTCCTAACTTAATTCCACTATGATCAGAGCATAATCTGTAGGAAATTAATTTTTTTAATGTTTGTTGAGGCTTTATTTGTGGTAGATTTGAGATCATTTTAAAAATAAATGTTTCATGTGTGCTTGAAGAGAATGTATTGCCTCTATTTCCTAGGTATAGGATTTTACATAGGTCCATTGGATCAAGCTTTTGTATTGCATTGTTCAAATCTTGTTAACTTAAAAAATTGATTGATCAATTATTAGGCATGTTTTATTAAAAATCAATTTTATTTGTGAATTATTCATTTCTTCCTGTAACTTGATAAGTTTTTTGTTAGGAGGTTATGCTACTGGATATATACAGATCTGAAATAACCATGGTCTTCAGCTTACAACTAATTTTGAACTTTTTACTCTAGGTTCATGCTTTAAATATCCTTAGAGCCTTGTTCAGAGATACACGTCTGGGAGAAATTATTATCCCTTATGTTGCTGATGGAACTAAGGCAGCGATTCTGGGCTTTACATCCCCAGTCTGGGCAGTAAGTGCATTTGCCATTTATTTTCATTGACTTAATCATACTTATGAGTAGATTTTAATAAACTAACCTTTCACTGAATGATAAAAAATATGTACTGCATTCTGTTAAGGAGTTACTCCAAGGGATGAATCCTTGGATCAAGCTACATTTTGACTCTTGGTATTTTACAGTTACATTCTATCTCCTCTACTCTTTGTTTTATTATTTTAGTGTTTGCTTTAGAGTTTATAGTATTAATATATATCTTCAACATCATAGTCTATCCTCAAGTAATATTTTACCATTTCCTTTAAAGTTTAAGAACTTAGCAATATGTACTCCCATTTCTCTCCTCCCAATCTTTGTGCTCTTATGATAGATTTTGCTTTTATGTATATTGTAAATTTACACATTGTTATTATTTTTGTTTAAACTGTCAGTTATCTTTTTTAAAAAAACTAAAACCGTCTTTAACTGTACATCTCAGTGGTATTAATTACATTCACAGTGTTGTGCGGTCATTACCACTCTCCATTTTCAGAGCTTTCTCATCATTCCAGACAGAAGCTCTGTATCCATTGGATAATAACTCCCCTCCAACCTCTTCCCCCCAACCCCTGGAGGTCTCTGTTCTACTTTTTGTCTCTGAATTTGCCTATTCTAGGTACCTTATGTAAATAGAATCATATAATATTTGTCCTTTGTGTCTGGATTATTTCATTTTGTATGGTGTTTTCAGGGTTCATCCATGTTGTATCATGTATCGTAATTTCATTCTTTTTTAAGGCTGAATGAAGTACCATTGTGTGGATATATGACATTTTGTTTATTCATTCACCTGTTGATGAACACTTAAACTGTTTGTCTTTGACTGTTGTGAATAATGTTGTAGTGAGCTTGTATACTTGTATTGGCATACAAGTACCTGTTTGAGTCCCTGCTTTCAAGTCATTTGTATATATCATATAATAATTCTGTGTCTAATTTTTTGAGGAACTGTGTTCCACAATGGCAGCACTGTTTTATGCTCCCATCAACAGTTCACAAGAGTTCCAGTTTCTTCACATCCTCATTAGTACTTGTTATTTTCTGTTTTTTTGGTAATAGACATCTTAACAAGTATGAAGTGAAATCTCATTTGATGTTTTGATTTCCACTTGATATTGAGCTGGAAGCAGAACAACTCTTAGTATCTGTATCTGAATGTGTCTTTCTTCTGGATGTTGTAGGCCTTGGGTATCAGTGTGTTGAGTGCTTGCTGGAAATACACTCTATCAAAAGGTGAAAAAAACAATCACAAAAGATTAAAATGGAGGTTAAATGTTGAGTCACTTATTTTGTTTTGTTTTCTGCAATATATCCAGAAAGTTTTTGATTGAGAATTATAAGATTGTTGGCAATACCTAATATAATTGTTGGATTTAAGAAAGTAAACTTTCACTTTTTTTTTTTTTAATGTGCCTGGAGAAAAACACCGTGATTTTATTGTTTTCCTGCATCATTGTGCCTTGTGGAATAAAGGACACTAACCTGTGGTTTGTAGGCACTTGACTGTGTCATTAGAAAAAGAAAAGAAAAGATTGGTAAAGGGAGAGGAGAGAAGAAGCTAGCTCTGCAGAACAAGAGAATTTGCTAGAAAGGCAGACTTCCCAATCAGTGAGCTGCACAAACCATTTTATAACTCTCTGATGAGCCTCTAATTGAGACTCAGTATATTGCAATGTAGCCCAGGGCACAGACTCCCAGTGCAAAGAGGAATCCTCAAGGTTGCCAACTGTTGCCTGGAAAACTGTACGTCTTCCTGTAAGAAAGGTAAATGTCTGAAATACTGCCTAGGAGCATTGCCTAACTACTCCTGAGGACATGGTGTTTACCTTTTGCATTTACAGGAAAACAGAGCAATACCTGTATACGGTCAGGAGAGGTAGGTAGGAATGTGGCTTGACGGTCAGGAAGAGTAGAGATCATAAAACTGATTGCCAGAAATCCCAGTATTGTTTTCTTTACTCCATCCATTCCACAAGAACAGACAAATATTCTCTGTGAAAGGCCTTCCAGAGAGTCAAACCCAGCGACTTTTCCAACTGGCAAAACTAAATGTATTAGAAATGAATGAATCATTTTTTTGGAAAAGTCTTCTGAAAAGACCTTTTAAACAGTAACACATGTGCACTGCAGAAAGTTAGAAAATAAAAGCATAAAAGAAGTCACCTGTTTAACTACCATACAGATATAATAATTTTTAGTATTCCAATATGTTCTTGTTTTCTATATGGCTTTTACATGTGTGTAGTACTCACATATACCCTTAATAGCCCACACAAATATATGTAAGTGCTTATATATGGTTTTATTTGGGAGGAATCTTCCCTTTTAACACTGGTTATAAAGGAATATTTTTGTTTCTATTCAGTTTTTTTTGTTTACCAGAAGAAATAAACATCACGGCTATAATGATCCATACTCTGACTTTAATATATTGTTACGTTTCCTTCCTTATGAGAGCCTGATCTAAGGTAACACCAGTACTGTGTGAACATACTCAGTGAATGTGAAGAAGTCTTCGTTTTACAAAACAATTCACTGTAGCATTCTGTGTGAAGTTGTTTAAAGAGTACTTTTTCCTGACGGTGTGTGAAATATGGTTTGATTTAGAGAAATCTTATTTGTACACATCTTCTCAAGAATATATCTTGTTCGTAAAGGTGACTCCATCTGTACTTTTGACTTAATTGTTTTTCCTGGTAGGTTAGATGGAGGGGGAGAAAAAGAGTAAGTAAAACAAGCTTAATTTTAATTTGGCAGTAAAGGAACATTTTCTAGGAGGTATTCGTGTATGTATTTGTACAGATTCTTAATCTTTGTATTAAGACCACACAAATCTCTCCATCTTTACCACCTATTAGGCATTTTTAAAATCCAGGGGAAATGTATTATTGCAAAATGTTAAACACTAGAAATACAAGGATAAGTAAGATATAATCATAATAACGACTGTCTCGTTGACTATTTTCCTTGTGCTTGGTAGAATTTACTTTACCACAGTTAATGCTTGGAATAATCCTGCTGCTGCTGCTGCTTCTGCTAAATCGCTTCAGTTGTGTCCGACTCTGTGTGACCCCGTAGACGGCAGCCCACCAGGCTCCGCCGTCCCTGGGATTCTCCAGGCAAGAACACTGGAGTGGGTTGCCATTTCCTTCTCTAATGCATGAAAGTGAAAAGTGAAAGTGAAGTCGCTCAGTCGTGTCCGACTCTTTGCGACCCCATGGACTGCAGCCTACCAGGCTCCTCCATCCATGGGATTTTCCAGGCAAGAGTACTAGAGTGGGCTGCCAGTGCCTTCTCTGATAATCCTGCTAGGTAGATTCTATTAGTAGAACCCCTGTTTTACAGATAAGAAAAACAAGTTTCAGAGAGGAGAAGTAACTTTGTCCAAGAACACACAACTATTATTTGTCTGATTCCAGAATCTGTGATATTATTGGGGAACATTTTGCATATTTCAGGAAATGTAGTGAATAAGTACATCTTACTTACCTTGTAGGGTTTTGACCTGTCCCTCAGCAAACAGAGCTGAAGGTATAGCCTAGGTGCTAAGTTTTCATTGGATGATACAAACCCAAAGCAGCAGGAATGTTGGGAAGGTGAGAAAACACATTAACAAGCAGGCCTTACAGGTTAACTTGGAGGAAAACTGAGCTCGTTGTCTGGTTGTGTGGTGCTTCTTCTAGCCAGGCCATGTGAAACTACCAACTGTGGGAACAGTCCCACCCTCTGTCTCTCCTGGTCAAAGTTCACAATGTGGGCAGGTGTTGGCACAACCCTTGGGCAGCTGCTAGAGAAGCCAGATCCAGTGCCACATGATACAGAGTCTCATCCGAGTCTGCAAATGGATGAATGAGCCACAACCATCATCGGTGTCTGAGGTTTGATGCACAGTAGGGGGATGATGGGATTTGACTGATGGAGTGAAAAATGGAGTCTTGATTGTGAGGTGAGGGGAGGTGGAAGACCACTCAGGAAGATATTGTAATAATTCTGCCAAGTGACGATGGTGGCTCAGAATAGAGAAATATGAGTAAAGGTGGTGGCAAGTGATAATCTTCAACACATATGTTAGATGACCCTTGTTTAGTTAAAAATTAGGTACCAGACATAATTTTCTAGGTATGTATGCCCATGGAAACAGAATTTTCCAGGCAAGTTTTGGAATCGGGGACACTTCTGGGCATTCCCTTTTTTATGTTCAGATGCCTGATCTTCTTTCCCTGTATCCTCATCGCTGGACAGGGAACCATCTTTTTAATTTGCCTGGAAGCTCTGTTGAGGAAGCCACATTAGGGTCCTTCCAAGACCCACACCAGGTTTATATTTCTCTCTGATCCATCTGACTCTGCATCTCTTGGGCCAGCTCTGGTTTACAGTATGCAGTGGGCTTCAGAGGAGAAGAAGGAGCCTTTCAGATCTTCCCAGGAGTGCTGCATGTACACTCTGTGCCCCTGTTGGCACTGTCTGCAGGCCCTCTGGTGGTCGTGAGGTTGCTGCGAGGGTGCCAGGCTGAGAGCTGTGTGGTGCTGAAATCCAGCCATGCTCTGCTTATTACACCACGTGCCGTGGCGTGGAGTTTTATTCACTCACAAGAAGAGTGCTTTTCCCTTAATTCACCCATAGGTGATGTATGGGCTACCGGGCTCTCTGTCTCTTCTTTTCTCCTCTTGTGGGAAAAGTGTCTTGTTAATCTTGGAAGAAAGTCACTCCAAATTTCAGTCAGGGCTAACCCTCCCCCAATCATAGGACCAGAAATCCTAGTACAGTTTTCCTAAATTGAAGATGAGGGATTTGAGACTTGAAGTTTTAGATGTTGTTTTCAAGGTCCATGGCTAAGAAGTGGTGGAAGGCAAATGAGAATCAAAATTCCATTTAATTTTTTCAGAAAGCATTTCTTTTTAGGATAAGCTGGCACTGTGTGCACTAGACAAAATACTTCATAATTCCACCCTCAAAGCTATGACTGTCCATGA